CTGCAGATTATATAAATTCAATTGGTCAACTTAAAGGCATACCTAACGAATTTAATACAAGAGATTAAGTTTGAATCAATATTAATTTGAATTACAAAAAGAACATATAAAATTACAGAATGGATTAATTACATAAAGTACAATCAGCAAAGATTTATTAATTACACTGATGAGGCCTTAACTGTCACAGTTTGCTACTGTGAGGAGCACAGAGCGAGGAGACCAGGAGTACAAAACAAAGGGGTTTAATATGCTCTTCAGAGAATCACACGTAGCACAAGGAGGGGACATAAACAATTCCGGACAAAGAAACTCAGAACGGGACTCACTATAAATACACAGACACCAATGGGACACACCTGGGAGCAAATTAACTAATTAAACAAACACAGCTGGAACCAAATTCATACAACGAGGACAGGAACAGGAAGGACCAAATAAGGAAAACAGGAACTAAACGGGAACATACACGTGACATGAACACTTCTAGGAGAGCAATTGGATGCAACAAGCAGAATGACAGAGCAAAATAGAATAGCTTTATATTATTTGTTAACTGAAAAAGGTAGAGTGTATGTTATGTTTGGGGAACAATGCTGTACGTATATACCAAATAATAATGCTCCAGAAGGAACATTTAGTGAAGTAATGATCAAATTAAAAAACCTAAGAATGGAAGATAAAGCAAATGCTGGAAAAGATAATCAAATGTGAGATTGGTTTGATCTAAAGTTAGGAGCATGGGGAGCATGGTTAACTAAATTGGGAATGTTTTTAGGAATTGCAGTATTGATAGGAGGTTTACTATTTTACTGTGTACTTCCTATATTGAGGTCACTAGTTATCAAAGCCACAGCTAAGCAAATGGAAATTCTAAGATGTCAAGATGATGGGAAATCGATTTTTGAGGGTAACCAAAATGGCCTTCTACAATGCGCAAAGTATCTGGACTGAAGATCAACTATGCTATTTTTTTGTGATGTTACATGTTTTATGTTTTGAATTTTTATTTCTGTTGTATACTACATAACTGTGACAACCACAGGCAAGCGCTGAACCAATTGCACACTCATGCTTATAACATTATTTTATCTTAAATGGGGGGGTAAGGAAGACAGGATCTTTTACTCCCTCCTATTTAAGTGTGGGGGGAGAGGTTTGGTCCTGATACTCCACCAAAGTGCTGTTACATAATCTAGTAATTAGTGATAAAACTTTGTGACTTAATTTAGTCACTAGGTAGTGGTAACTGATAAGACTGAATTATGAAGCTGCACTCTGTGTAAAAACAAGTAAAGGTGAGACTTAGTAAGTCTCAAAGAGGGGAATGTGGAAGATTTTTATTAATCAAAATATGAACTAATCAAGTATAATCAATGTGAATCTAGCCATTTATGTATCAAGTTATTCTACTATTATAATCATGTATCTGCATGAGAATGGAATGTGCAGACAGTGCAGGGGTACAGTATATGGTGGAGCTGCACACTCTATTTGGACATTAGACAAAATATATGATGAGACCTCCTTGGTGCAGACATTACAAAAATACAGTATATGGTAAAGTTGCACGTCCTGTTTTGACATTAGACAAAATATATGATTAGGCCTCCTCGTTTCACTTAAAATAAATTCTACATCCTAAAAGCAGGCTGGAGACAGCCAAAAGAGGTAAAAGAGTTGATAAACAATAACCATATGTATGAAATGTATTGAACATGGACACGCCTTCAGGAAACACTGTATAAAAGAGAGTACAGACACAGACTCTATAGATTGTCCTGCAGAGCTTTCTCGGTTTTATTGTCTCTTGATAATGAAATCTCTTCTGGCATCAAAACCCCAAGACTTTAAGAACGAAATCCTTCATCACTTGAATAAAGATTATAATATTTTAATTTTAAAGGAGACATTGGATGCGAAATATCTTCATTTGCATATAAATGTGTCTTAGCAGTGTGTGGACACAACCACCCTACAATGATAAAAATTCACTCCTTTTTTTTTAACCCCCCAAAAACCTATAAACAGTCTCAATTATCAAGCCATTTTGATTTTGGATTTTGCAATGGTGCTGTATGTCAGCGGGCTTGCCCACAAGGCTATCGGTGTCAACACACTTTTTATTTTTTATGATTATTTGCGAATCGCGTTTGCTCTTCCACAAAAGAGAGGGGCGGCGTGAGCAGAGCTCATTAGCATGTAAAGAGATATGCACGGAAATGAGTCGCTGTGAACAGAGCTGTTTTTGACAAGGTAAAAAGGGTGTTGTTTTACACGACCACTGAGACCATTTCAAGAATACCCTAAAGAATCATACCAACGTGGAAAATGGGCATCCGATGTCCCCTTTGAAGCACAGCCACCACAAAATCAGACTTACTTTAAAATCATTCTGAGGTTAAATACATATTTAAAATCATAACAAGAAATAGTTTAATAGCTATGATACTGTCTTTGCATAGACAGGAAACACTGGAATCTAACAATGCCTTAGAAAAAAAAACAGTTGATCTTAAAAAAATAAAGCATATACATAAACCCTATCGGATAAACATGTTATAAACTTCTGAAACATTGGTGTTTCATATTTTAGAGCAGTCACTGCAATTTATGAAAGATAATGAAATCTCTTCTGGCATCAAAACCCCAATACTTTAAAGAATGATTCCTCACAGCATCCTGCACATGTTCTCCTGCTCTTGCCTCATGATTGTGTGGTTCAGGGGGCGCCATCATGGCCATAAACTGACTTGAACGCACCTGACGTCGTAATTACGACTTGTCAACTCGTACGTACGAACGTCCCAGGAGGACTTGAAAGCAGCATAAATGCTCCTCCCCCTTCACATCTGTTGCAGTTTAAATAAACCACACCTCATGTATTTCAAACAGGGCATCTTGCTTTATTAATATTTATTATGAATGTCTTAAATAACAAACTTTAACAACATATGGGCAGATCCCTTCAGCGCAGCTGATAACGCTTTAAAGTGATGCTAAAGGGAGGATATGTCATTTCACTTGATTCAATTCCTCCATCCTCCAGAGCTAAGACGCGAGGAAAGGAAGCGAGGACGCACAAATAAGAATTGAGAAGCAGCCAGTGTCGCCATAGAAACGCACAATCCTCTCGTAATTAGGCTTCCTTAATTATTATGACATGGCGTGAACGCAGCATTCAGCTCATCCAACCCCAATCAAACACACCTGAACAAGCTAATCAAGGCATTCCAGATTACTAGAAAGCTACAGACAGGTGAGTTTGATCAGGGTTGGAGTTGACCTGATCTCCTTGGATCTTTAAAACCCCATTTTACAGCAGTTTATGTTGCAGCAACACGGTTATTCATTTTAACTTTATGCTCTTCGCTGTCCCTGACGCACCAATTCAGCGCATTTTCCAGCAGAGATCATTGTGAGATCATCGATCGGGAGGATGACAGCTCGAGTGTATTGCTCGTTGATTGCTGTTTTGTTGTGTCTGTCTGGATCCTTGAGCATTACAGATGCAGCTCCAGGAAAGACAACAGGTGAGAATATCTGTTAACTTAATTACACAGTCTGAAGAAATGCAGAAATAAGTGACACTCAGTCTTTGAAAGTAACAGTTTAGGAATGAGTAATCGGTTTTAAAACACTTGATTTGAAGTAGATAAATGTCAAATTTAAGGTTTGAGACTTATTGCAAAACCCCTGATTTACAAATGCAGGAACAGCGCTCCCTGGCCGCCCCTAATGTT